GGTTGGGAGATGACTGCTCTACCCACCGCACCACTGTCGCCTCCTATATTTGGCTGTGAAATCTAAAAGCTCCTGCACAGTCAGCCCACACTGCTGTCTTTCCTTATATTATCTGGTTCAAGCTGTTCTCAGGACAGTTTGGACCAGTACAAACATATGCCAACACAATAGTATAGTTGTTACTGCAGGACAAAGTCACTTTGCATCTGGTCAAAACCACTAGACTACAGTTTGACATTTTGCCAAAACGTTTTATCATAGAAATGTGTTTTTTTTAAAGTAGCATTAACATTTACAAGAAGCATAAAACAGGTCAAAGCTGAGCTGCACTGAAATTTAGCCAATAAGAGTAGGTAACTCCGACATGATGGTGGAGAAATAACCAAACTAGCCTAGCTCACAGACTAGTTTCTGACTCAGATTTAAATGTGTTCATGATTAAGAATCATGTTTCTGTAGATACTGCATTTTCCCTGCTCCCTTTAGCTGCTCCTAACATGAAGTCCAGTATCTAAATGTTTTACAGATTTTATGTAAGGTTTGTACTCCCACCTGGGTGGGGGTACAGAGCCTGTTATTCACACTGGACGTGTCAAACTAACACACTGCAATAGAAAAACATCATTCTCTTTCAAATGTAATGAAGAAAAAGAGATGTAATAGCACAGGTGGGCGGTTCAGACAGGTGTAGTACTCTAACATTCAGCACACCTTTATCCTGATAAATGTAAACCAGTGAATGTTTCCTGTGCAGGGACTCACCCCTGTGTGCGCCAGCGTCAGTTGGCTCAGAAACTCGGACACGAGTGCCATGATGAGTTCGCCTGCAGAGAGTCAGGACAGAAAGAAAGAGACGTGTTACAGTGGTTCTTCTGTGTGATGCTTTTTAAAGGGGAACAAATATTCATGAGCTGAGCGCTACATGGCCAAAGGTATGTGGCTGCATGCTTTATCCACAGCAGCAGCAGAAGAATCACAGCTTCATGGTGAGTTACCCCAACAGCCTCATTTCTTTTCTGTTTCAGTTTCACAGCATTCACACTTTGTGTTTATCAGTTTATTGGCATCATTAAATGCATAGAGTGGACACTTACTGCACCTACTGACACCAGAGGACTTTACAACTGTTCTGAAGTCACAAGAAAAGCTGCATTGATTCGGACTCAGTGAGCATCAGAACAAACAAGCTACTGATCTGAACCTTTCTGGTTTTCTAACAGCACAGACAACAGCCATAGTCTGTTAACAGTGAGAGCAGCGCGGCCCAGACTCGGCGTCCAGCAGGTTGAGTCAGCATCAGAGATGTGTGTTTGATTTATTGACCAGCCAAAGGGCGTGCCTGCAGGAGAGGCTGCAGATAAGCAAAATGAGTCACAGTGCAAACAGTTCTGCAAAAATATGTGCCACACGGTTCAGAGTACTTACTCACCGGAAGCTGTAAAGTGTTGTGAAATGATCATTAACCCCTAAAGACTGAAGTCAAGATGATTCAATCTGTTTGAGCCACACTGGAAAGCTGTGCTGACCCTTGATCGTCTTACAAAATGTTAACAGGAAGAGTGGGGAGGGGTCAGCGTTTCAACACCTAGCAACAGCAACTACAAACACTCCTGAGTTTCAGCACAACACAGTCATTCCTCTGTTTGCAGGGCTTTAAAGGAGAATGTCACATTTTTAAAATCTTTATTTGCATCAGTGCTGCATTGGAAGAAGCAACAGTACCACAGGGTAAAAGCACTAAACTGACTGGAAAGAAGAAAAACACTGTCTGACCTCAGGCAGTATTTAAAATGAAGCCAAGTCTCTGTTTGGTGGAACTGGAAACAACTCATAACTCATGTTTGTCTGCAGCAGGATCATGGCAGAAACCACTGGCATGCCGGCTTTCCTACTGTATGTGTTTTTACGCAGCATTTTAGTTTACAAGTAGCGAGTAAGCTCAGAAACGTAGTGCAGTAAAAGTACAATGAGCAGTCAGAGCAGAGGAAAGTCAAAACAAAGATAAAGTCAGAGCAGAAAAAAGGAGCAAGCCGAACAAGGAGTTAAATGGACGAGTGTTTCTTTTTTCTTCTTCCACAGATCCAACGGTTTGTGGTTAATCTGCCGCCAGACCAACTCTGGTTTCAAAATCAATAATTACAGAGCACTGAAGGGGGGGCGGCTCCATGTCCCATCCCTTTAACACACTGTTGCAACCTACCTTGGCACAAACCAGTTCTCTTCATAGCTGTGGACAAGGACTTGTCAGCTTAATTTCCATTCTTACTCGCAGTTCACCTACCCTCCGTTTTTTAATTAGAATCCCAGCATTTTTGGTTTGCAGATCAGCTCAGACACTTATTTTGAAGGCTTAGAGGAAGCTTTAGATTGGACTTACTACATCATTGCCCAGAAGTATACACAAGTGCACACTTTAATTAAGGGTTTAAAGCAGCAGCAGAACCTGTCAGAGAATCGCCTTGCAGCGGCTTGTAGTGGGGTTCAAAGTAAAAGTATTTAGTGGTGAGACACAGAGGTCATCACCTCTTGGTGATCCTCCCTCAGTAAATAACATAAACATCTTACTCTGGTAACTACAGGCAGGCAGAGAGCAGAGTGGGTCTGCAGGGCAGACTCCACCCAGCCGCGCCCAGCAGCATGCTGCCACGTCTGAAACGCCTTGCGTGAGTCTCCTGAGTGAGACTGTATCTTCTAATGGATTCTTCACAGGGGGGTATGGTGGAGAGCCCCCCGTCCCATTGCTTTAACAGACTCAAGGAGAGAGCAGCTCGACAGAGGGTTCTCACAGTTAAAGTACCAGACAACAGCAGAAAACATGTGTCAGAGTTCACAGGCTGAATCGGTTGCTGCATTCCTTAACCACAGTGACTGTCCAAACAGTGAGCTCTGCATGTTTCCTTACCTTCAGAGAAGCAGCAGCAGCAGTGAGGCAGCGAGCAGCAGCAGCTCCGTTATGATCCAGGATGGGACGGGGTGTGGCATTTAAATACCAGCTGACTCACACACACCCCTCCCCCTTGCCCCGTTTGCTGCTGCATGACTCAGTGTCCAACACTGTTACACCCCACTGACATAAGCCATGGACACACATTCCTCACTCAGACTCAAACTGATTCCCCTGCTCTCTGTCTCATGCCATAGTCCGATACAGTGCTGGCAGGTGACCAGAGTGTCTGTGGCTACAGTACTGATGCTTTACTTGCCTCGCTGCATGTAGGTAATAACACACGTTGCCCTGATGGCTGTGCTCGTATAGACACCTGGTAGTCAACATCCTGTACCTGTGGACAACTAGGAGTCCACACTGACACCTGGGAGTCATTTCTCTACGTGGGCACCTGAGAGTCCAGTATTCACCATGTGTGCACCTGTGTCCCTGAGGAAGGCTACTTCCTTCAGTGATTCTCCTGAAGTTGTTGCTGTGTGTACAGTGGGCGAGGTCAAACGTCCCATATACCTTGATGCGTGTGTTCATATCCTTAAAACCCCTCCCCCATGCCATCCATCCCACCACACCCAGTTGATCAGGTTTTGTCAAGACAAATATTAGCACAACTGATTGACCAGTAATTACAAAGCAGCTCCTCCAGTCCAACAACATCACCTCCCAGTGATCAGAGGTCTGCTCAGTGTTACAGCTGATAGCGGAGCATCAGCCTGACAGCCTTTGGGGAGGCATGATGTCAGATTAATAATTAATGTTAATGGTGAATTATTGCATCAAAGTGCAGCAGTAATTGTTCATGTCTCATGAGGTAAAATATCTGCTGTGATAAAAATTTAGGTCTGCTCCACATTCTGGCCTGGTCCCAGTTTTTAAACGCAAATCCCAGCGTTAGTTGTTTGTGGGTGTGAAGATTCTTTTCTCTGTTGCATAACACAAAACTCTTTGACTGAAAGAGGAAACTCCTGTGGACTAAAGCTGCACACGGAAGGAATGGGAAGTGAAAACTCCCATTGTTTTCTGCGTGACCTCCACTAGCAGCGGGTCTGACTGTGGACTCTCCCTGAGTGCAGGGGCGGGCCTGGAAAAGCTGATATGACATGATATCTAGTAATCACCCTCAAAGGATGATTCCTGTGGTAACTGTGGTAATAAAGTATTCCTTGATTTGTTGTGCAGTGTTTCCACCCTCTGCCAGGTGGAGGCTGAACTTTGGCCGCAAAAGCAGAGTGACCACTACATCTAAATCATATGTACAGTAAAATGTAGCTAAGTAACTTATACTAAATACATTTATCTGACTGCTGTGATCACTAGTTACAGATTTACATTTAAACAAAACAACAATTAACATATTTGCCATTTCTACAGATGAAACAAAACTACAAAAACTATCCATTAGACACCATTTAAAAATGCTTCTTACATGTTACTACATCACTCATAGTAAAACAGTAACAAATACTTGAGTATTCAGGAGGCCGGTGTACCAAATGAGTACTTTTATTTTTGATACTTCATGTACATTTTACTGGTATTACTTCTGTACTTTTCCTCAAGTGACAGTTTGAGTTTAGGGCTTTTATGTTTGGTTTTATCTGTACATGTTGGGGTAGTCATACTGAGATCACAGCCTGTTCCTAGAGGGACCTGAAACGGGTTCTTAAGACACAACCAACAAAACCACCAGAAAATAAACTATCCAATTCATAAAACACAAATACAGACAGATAACAGTAGAACAGGGCAGAGAGTCAGGAAGAACAACCACACCACTGAAAGTACTTACGTGTAATAGAGTATTTTACACTGTGGTACTGCAATTTATGTTACCTATCACATCTAAACACTTCCTAGTCAGTAATGTGTGTGTCTCAGGGTCCACGTCAGTATCTGTAAACTACAGGAGTTTTCAGTAGAGAGAAAAAGAAAAAGCAGCTCTTGGCATTGTTTGATTTCTCTAAGTCCTCATGTCCACAGTGTGGCTTCACGAAGCGTGAACCGTGCTGTGTAGCACACACTCACAGCTGTATCTCACAGAATGGGATGTCAGTCTCTCTCGGATCAGTTTTAACTCCAGAGAGGTTAGGAGGTGCTGTAACCCAGAAGAGTGTGAGCTGGAATGCAGGATGGCCTGAGCTGAAGCGTCTGAGGTCAACACACTCTGCAAAGGTTTGTTTCAATGGCAACAGTCGGAAGCTGTTTATCTGGGATACGGGGGGGTATCCGCTAATAAAGCTCTCTGTGGAGAAACGTGAAAGTTTTGGTTTCTTAAGGCGCCAGGTATACAGTAGATGCTGGTTTTGGCTCAGTTCTGTGTGGACTTGGCCTATGTGGAGACTAAGCTAACTAAGGATGCCAATTAGAATAGCATATTTCCTTGTTTGTTTATTTGACTGGGACCTTACAAATAAACCTGAACAGCGTGACAGAGGTCGTGCTCAGCTGAAGCTAATGTGCAGCCCTTGACCCTGGTCTCACTTTCAATACAAAAACCTAAATATTCAAAAACCCCAAAGGAAAATATACTGAGTGTTTAGTTGGAATTCAGATTTAAATGATGTATAAGTGAATTATCATTAACTAATCCAGTTTGTATTTAACTGTGACCAAACATGTCCTGATGTTTAAATTGAAGCTGTCTGTTTCTGCCGGGCTCGGCTTCCTGTACAGAGGGACGTTAGACCAAGGCAGATCTGATGTGGGTTGTCTTGTGCATGAGTCACACTGAGGATAAACTGTAGACTTTAGTTCACTGTGACACATGAACGTGCTGGTCACAACCAGTTTGTCATGTGAAGAGTTTCTGGACACTGTAAAAAATTTCCGTCATTTTCCCTTGTCTGTCAGTCTCTTCTTCCTTCCGTTTTCTTTCCCTTTATCTCTTCTTTCTTCTGTCCCTTCCACTCTTCTACTTTCTACCCCTTCCTTCTGTTTTACATTATATCAGATTGTCTTTCATCCTTTCCATATTCAGGTGGCTTAAAAGCAATGATCTACGGTTTGCTACAGACTGCAGTGTTTAGAGTTTCTAAGGCCATACTCACTGTATGCGGGCTCCTCCCACCTACCTAGCATGTTACACTGTATTACTGTAGCTGCAGCACACACACCCTGAGGCCTGAATCAGCTGTGACTGATTGAAACCACATGACTCCTGCTGCAGACACGCCAGCGCTACAGTCCTCACCTCCTCCAGCAGAGGGCGCTGTGAGCCCAGCTTGCCATGAATCCTCATGGAAAACTGAGTCAAAATGCTATTAAATCACTTCGGATCAGATCTTCATTTTACAATCCCTGTAAAGTAGAAAACAGCAGGAAAGCAAGGAAACAAGGGTGTAGTAAAGAAAAGGAGGATGTAAAGAGCTGACACAAAGGGACTGTTGCTTGACTTGACCTGTTTTGACCTACATGGCTGACTGTTTGTTTCTAGATAGTCTGTCAGTCTGCTTCCACAAGTGTGAACAGAAAAGACAGAGGAGTCCAATTAGTTTTGGGACATTTAAGGCACTGATGGAAGAAGTACTTGGATTCTTCACTCATGTAAAATTACCAGTAGCACACTATGAAAATACTCCACTACAAGAAGTAATCCAGGACTCACTTACTTAGCCTTTGTAAAAATACAAAAGTGTTATATATAAAAATGCTTGAAGTATCAAAAGTAAAAGTACTTTTACTATTATATATGATGTTTACTGACTGAAAATTCCTGGAGCATCATGTATAAATTGAACTTCACTGCTGGAGCTGTGTAAGGTTGCATTAATTTGAACTACTTTATAGATTGTGGGGAGTTTAATCTACAGTAATACATCAGGATGATCAAGCCTTTGTAAGAGCCATATTTTTAGCTTTGACATTTTTTAGTAACTAGTCCCCCACCCTATACCCAAATGGCCTTGTTTCCTCTCCTACGACCCACAGGGGCATCTCATTAAATCGCACTCCTACAGTCGCGAGAAGAATCGCAACAATTCCACCAACGTTAACAACAATGTATGTCGCTTTATGAACCTCTGTCATCATGGAAACAGCTAGAAACACGATGGCTAGCTAGCATGCTAGTGCACTTACTCCTTTTCTTGTGTCATAATTAATACAGTTGCTCAATGTTGCCAAACTATAACACGTGACATTTCGTCGTAATAACCTGCTGGCGCAAAATGATGTATACTGTTGTATTTTAGGAGGACAAGTCTCTTTTTTGGAAAATCCTGTTTTTTTTTAAATAAGTTCTTTATCTTAAGAAGTAGGAGAATTAATTCAGCCTATAAAAAAACAATTAATCATTTGATTTATGGGAAACCAGTTAAAAATGACCACATTTACAGATGCATGGTTTTAACGATGGGAAAGAAGGGTATGAGAAAATGTGTGCAGTGGAGTAGAAGTTACATTTAGTGGGGATACTCAAAGTACAAGTACCTCAGCTCTGTATTTAAGCACACTGCTCGAGGAACATACTGTACTTAGTTACCACCACTGATTATGGTTTCACAGGACTGAGGAGCTTAACCAGCCCAGGTCTGATGCTGTCAGGTGGCTGCAGTCCCTGAGCTCCCACCCTTTGTTTTGCTGACGCTGGACTTAATCTCGTTAGCAGCTAATCCAGCTTTAACCTGGAGCCACTGCAATATGCTCACAGCTGGGTCTGTAGGCGCTTTACATCCCATTGCCTGGTTTAAATTCAAAGAAATGTGTCAAGCAAGGCAGGTTTATGCCACAGGCCATTCTAAGGCACCACATGGATGACATTACAAACAGTTCTGAAAAGGAACAAAATTAAATGACATAGAAAAACCTTTTTAAAAGGACACATTGGTTTCTTCACCTAGCAGCTGGACTGTAGGAAGAGTCTGGACCACTGATAACGGGGTTTCCTGCTGCTTCCTGTCTTATGTACAGTACGCTGCTGGGTGTTGCTGTTGTAGTTGTTGAGCTGTCAGTCCCAGGTCACAGCACCAGGACTGACGCTTCAGTCCAGGTTCAACAATGAATCCACACTGGACTCTACAAACACCTGCTGCCCAGTCACAGAGAGGACCTGCAGGCAGAGGCACCACATGGTTGGTTGTTTTTTTTTTACAGGTTGTTTTTGCAAAGCAAAGCTCCAGGGATAACCAGTGTTTAATGAAGAGCACTGTTCACATCTGTATGTTAAAGCACCAATAACGCCATAACATAAAACAACAGTGTGAAAGGTGTGTGGTAGAGCTGAACCTGGAGTCACTTATCGTCTGTCCCGGTCTGCCCTGCAGTAATCCTGTTAGCAGCGCTCCTCTTTAATCCCCCACAGAGGTCTGATCCCTGCAGGTCTTCACAGCTCTGTGGGATGCTGCTGGACCCTGACTGAACAACTCAGGTAGGACAAGAGACCTCCAACATGCAGGCCACACCCTGCTATACCTGTACTCTACACCCTAAATACACCTGCGCGAACCTGTTCAATTCACAGCTGCATTAATTCATTCAGGGTTTGTTTTTTCCTGGTTTAAATGTGCAGTGCATGGTTTTCTTGTTTGGGTTTCTTTCTGTAGTTATAAAATAGTGATGTGATTTATAATGTTTTGAGTTAAATTGTAGTTTGATCAGTTTGTTTACCAATCAGAGGATGTGGCAGGGTTAGAGAAGTTACATTTGAATTTTTATAGGTAACCATATTTCAGTCCTAGAAATGACCCTGTAGCTCGGCGTTCTCATTGAGCGCTGCTGAAAAACTGAGAAACTCATCTGAGCAGGTGCTGTCACTGCCTCCAAGGCGATGACACCTGTCTCAGCTGGTGTCATTGCAGCATGTGGGATCTATAATGGCCTAACGCTGGCTGTTGCAGCCATGGGTCAATACAACCAAATGTAAATCTGAAACATGTTGCTGTCTAAAAGAACATGGTATTTTTCCAGCAGTAACATATTTGGCTGTGTGTTTGTTTATGGAGGATGCTGAGTTGGGTGGTCAGAGTCTTTCCCCAGCCACCTGAGCCTCCACCCAGAGCAGCAGAGGAACTTTCCACTGCCCCTGTTCATGTGAGTCACACCCTTTTTGGTTTATCATTTAGATCTCTGGAGTTCTCTTGTCTTTTATCTCTTGTATGTAGAAAGGACTATGTAAACTAGGTTTTAAAAAAAAATATATGTAGTACATAATTATGTTTTACTGAATTACATAACAAATGGTGTATTATTCATACTGTACACGTAACGTTTTGTGTTTTCTGTAGGAGAAGAAAGTGACATTTCAAGATGAGTGCAAAAACAAAGGTAAGGCCACTCACAGTGAACTTGATGTGTTTCCGTTTGCTTCTGTTCTTCACACTAAACATACGTTACTGTTTATTGGCAGCAAAAGCTGACATACCCAACCGGGAAGCAGAGGGGAGCAGGTGAGTTATATTCACACAGGTGATAGGGAAACAGGTGAATTGCACTGATAGAGGTAACAGGGAGGAATGGGAGTTACAGTGACAACACTCAGGATAAAGACACTTTACATTTGTACCAGACAGCGTGTAAACAAGAGTGAACACTGTTTCCTCAGCCTGGCATCTGGCTCTCAGCCCACGGTGTTGGCGTGGATCAGCGGAGTGCTGCCTCAACCTGCAGTGTCACCTAAAGTGAGCCGGGCCAACCCCAGCACGGAGGTGAGGATCTGATCCTGAGGCTCACTGTGCAGTCAGGTCATCGGTATCTGGTGATAATGTGCTGGTGTCTTTTCTGTTTACAGGACGACAGTGCAGCAACCAGGTAAATACAATGAGTATGTGTGTGAAACTGTTCAAGAGACTTAGAAAATAAGGCTGAATAGTTACTTATGTGTGGATAATGCATGAACACTGACTCAAACGTTTTACTTGACGCCTGACTTGGAGTCCCCCTCAGCATCTTGAGACCTGACTTGAAACTTGTTTAAAAGATTTGAAAGGTTGAATGACTTTTGGTCTACTGTAGTTGAAGAGTTGCTTTGGAAAGACTTGAGACTTGGTTGCTTTTCATTATTTTTTTTATTTAACCTTTATTTTTACACTTAGCAGCCTCCTTTTCAAGGGAGCCCTGGCAAAACAGCAGCCTGAAACGTTACAGATAAACGATGCAAATACAAAGCTAAAACAATCAACAATGAGCTTTGTAAGTTAATGCCGATGTTTCCTCTGTGGATCACAGTAAACCCAAAGACGTGTGAGTGATCACCGCAGCACACTAATGCCAAATAGTGAACTGCTTTGTAACCTTATTTATAGGCAAGATGCCAAATAGTGAGCTGCTTCATAAACCTGTCTCCATACAGGATGCCAAATAGTGGGCTGCTTTGTAAACCTGCCTACAGACAGGGTGCCAAATAGTGAGCTGCTTCGTAAACCTGTCTACAAGCAGGATGCCAAATAGTGATTTGCTTCATAAATCTGTCTACAGGCAAGATGCCAAATAGTGAGCTGCTTCATAAACCTGTCTATAGGCAGGGTGCCAAATAATGAGCTACTGACTATTCAGCAGTGAAGCTCTGCTCACACACCTCAGGGGATCTTCAGTTCAGCAGCCACAAACACAGGGCCTGACAGTACATTTACTGTCAATCTCCTCTGTTGTTTCTCTCCCACAGAAAAGGGATGATAGCTTGGATCAGTCAGGGTTTGGAGAAAGTTGTTCCTCAGCCTGATGTGAAGAGCAAAGAGTCGCCTCCAGCTGAGCCGCACCATGAGGTACAACAGTTAACACATGACGTCCTGAAGTGGTTTTGTTAGAGAGCAGTACTCAGTTACCACAAAGGCCTTCACCTACTAAATCAGTGAAACGCTGTACTGAGGTTATTTGGATGCATACTGTCGGCTCATTTATTTCTTGGTTCAACCTCTATTTTGCCAGGCAAACCTCACTGAGAGTAAAGATCTCGTTTGCACACAAACTGAACATTATGAAGGAGGATTTACTGCTGTTGGGTTAGACTGACTCTGTGGTTGGAGATGGCTATTCCTAATAAACTGACTACTGAGTGTTAACTGTTTTCACAACCATGACATGTAAACTGGACTTGATGTGTAAAACTGGTGGAATGCTCCTTTAAATGTCAGCAGCTTCATCCCTCTTTCTGAGCCCTGTGTGTGTGTGTGTGTGTCTCCCCAGGTGCATCCAACAGCAGCTGCACCAGGTGAGGGCAGGTGTGAATCCTCCCGCAGACTAAGCTCCGACTCAGCTGGACGCAGTCGAGTGTCTTCTTGTGTTTCATCTACAGCACCTCAGGTGGTGGAGGTGGAGTCAGACTCCGAGGACAACAAGCCACCCCCCCCCAGGTATGTGCATGCTCTGCACTTTCAGAAGGATGTAATGGTGTTATCTACAAACAGCCAGGGCTGTGGCACAGATTAACATCACGGGTCCACTTTTCACATCAGCCCGGTTAAAACCGGTGATGTAAATTGGCACAGTCATGATTTAAAGTATGAGCAGAAAGTAAAGGAGTGTAAAGCAGAGTCCATGGTTTCTGCAGGTGAGCTGACATGTAACTGTGAACAGCAGCTGGATGACAACATCAGCTCAACAACACGGACTGGATGTTAAATTGCTGTTCACCACAGTGCCTCTGCTGTATCATCAGGCGTTTTCTTTATTTAATTCAGAGGTAGTGAAACAGTGTGTCTCTGATATTAGTCCACCATAAAAGAGACCTAGAGCAGCAAAGGGACGGAATTAACCAAATCCATGTGTGACATGTGTGGCTGGCAGGATGATAGACTGGATCAGACAGAGCATAGAGAAGGTGGTGCCTCAGCCAGAGGTCTGTATTCGCTCAAAGACAGAAGGGGACGAGAAGACTGAAGCTGCAGCTGCAGCTGAAGGTACCTCCGCTTCTGAGTCAGCCTCAAGTCATCATTGGTGGGGTTTTAAACATGTGACCTTGTGAGAGAATAAATATTACTAATCAGAGAATCTCCTCCTCCTTTAAACAGCTGAAGCTCTACCTGCAGAGCCCCCAGCAGCTCCACAACCCCTCACCAGCACTGAGAAGTAAGCACAGCCTTTGTCTCTGGTTAGGCACTGAGTCAGAGGTAGGAGCAGATTAAGAGGACAAGGCCCAGGATCAGGAGGGGGAGCTGTGCTGGGTTACGAAGGCAGGATTAGGAAACACATTCACAAGAGGTTATGCATCTTCAGAAATAGTTTGTAATCCAAAAGTAACACAAAGACGTTATATGGGATTTCACTTAGCCAGCATGCTAATGTATCAACAGCATGACAGCAGTAAAGCGGGCCAGTCATGGACATCTGTTAACTTCTCTTCATGGTGGAAACATTTAACATGTTGCTCTTGACCTGCAATGTAACTGGAGAAAAGCTACCTGCTCTAAAATGCCATTGTTGATTTTCAAGCTTGAAGTTTGTACTAAGTGTCGGCACACTAGGCCAAAGTAACACAATGAGACACAATGAGCTAACTGCAGGTGGAAAACTGTCATATTGGATGAAGTGCCTGTTGTTAACCTCTGTCCCCTTTGTGCTGTGTCCTCTCAGGTCTTACGAGGAAACAGAGCAGCAGCCTAAGTAGGTGGAAACAGGTTTATCCGACATTACAGTAGCATTATAGCACAGAGCTTTAGCCGGGATTGTTCTGCCGGACGTTACACTCCTAATGACTCTAGTTAGAAACAAATCACATGACCGAGTTATAAGTGAATAATCTGTGAACAGTCTTTATTGGCTGGTGGAAAGAGCGACCTGTTGGTGTCTCGTTGTCATGGTTCAGATGTCTGGGCGTTGTTAGCAGTTCCACCAGTGAAACATTTCCAAACTTCTCAGGTTGTTTCAAAAACATTAGTCAACAGGTCAATTTGTAAGTCTGCACTACTCATCCAAATTTGTGTCCACATCTTTTGCCCTCATATATAATCTCAGGACCCCTGAGATTTACCAGATGACCCTTTGGAGGGGCCAGATCCCTAGGTTGGCGACCACTGCACTGAACTACCGAACTGCACAACACAGTGAAAGCTCCCTCCACTTCAAGTAATTCTAACAATCTACAATGTCTTCAGTTACATGGGACATTGTACTGCAGAACCAATACTTTTACTTATACTAATAGTTTTACGATTTTGAATGCAGGACTTATACTTGCAGTGGAGTTTTTTTACTTTGTAGTATTGTTGTACTTAACTGAAACACAGTATTTCTTCCACCTCTGGTTAGACAAAGCAGATACTGTACAGCGTGCAGTACACATTTCTTCTGAGAAGATTTAGAGCCATGTTGGAAGGGCGCTACTCACTTTGCTGTCCATTTAGTTTTGGTGTATTCTGTGAGGTGTTTTGTTGTAATTCTAACAATGGCCTAGATTTGTTCTGTTTTGTTTGCTGTATGTTGTTGTTTGTCTTGACCGGGACGCTCTTATAAAAGAGACTTTTAATCTCATTGAGGTTTTCCTGGTAAAATAAAGGATAAATAAAACTGTCACTCTGACACCATGCACACTGGGTTATTGGCAGAAAATAGATGCTTCAGGACCCAGATTGTGTTTTCTTTGGTCCAACATGTTGTGTTGTGTCGACAGCATGATGGGCTGGATCGTGAATGAGATCGTTCGCATCTTGCCACAGCCCGTTCATAACCAGGTGAGTCGCTGCAGCATCAGGTTCATGTCTCACCCCTCCATTGCTGACTATGTCCTTACAGTGTCCGTTCTCCTCCTGCAGGATGCAGGAAGTGACGCGGCACACGCTGGTAAGTCCAGCTTCTCCACAGCTCACACTAACACCTGCACGTCACAGTCTGGTCATTTAAATCACACCACAGCTGAACTATGGGTGTGTCAGGGCCTGAGTCTAAGTGCTGGAGAGTAACTAAGTACAATTACTCAAGTACAAATTCAAGGTGATTGTACTTTTCTTGAGTGTTATAATTACTACATTTAACCAACACCTTCAGTTATTAATAACTCTGCAGAATGCAGTTTTCATACCCTTCCTGCCACATTTCTCTAAAATGGCTGATTTTGTCTTAGTGTTTTAATAAACCGAATAGATTGTTCCTTCATTTTGAATAAATTCTCCTACATGTTAAACAAAATTATTTAAACAACATTAGCTGAAAAATGCATTGCCACGACAAACATTAGATAATATTATAGAATACCATGTGACACTACCCATTGTGTATAAAGTACATACAATTTGCAGTAAAATGCCCTAATTATATAATTAATGGGATTAATCCAAAAACATGTAACAAAACCTGACCAGATCATTTTGTACTTTTACTGAATAAGGGTTTTAAATCCAAGATTTGCACTTGTAGTAGAGTATTTTCACAGTGTGTTTTTGCTACAGTACATGAAGGGGTTATATTTATAACAAATTATTACATAATGTCAACTAGCTAGCTCCTGGCTAATGTAACTTAGCTAATTCAGTACGTGTTAGCTACGTTAGCAGTTTCTTTACATTCTCCCTCTGTTTTTACCAATCACAAGAATTACTCCCCAAGTTTTTTTAAAAATATCTGGACAAGCCACACAAAGGTTTCTTTCACTCTTATAAAAGAGAAGACTTCACGAATGACGATTAACTCATTGGTTTGGGAAATGTGCATCTGCCTCCCAAAACCTTACAATGGGTCACAGTGATTAACTGCAGTGCATGTAGTTCTGCTTGAAGCCTTTTCTTTATATACACCTTGTGTCAAATCAACTTGTCACCAGCTGAAAATGTTGTCACCACGCTGCAGTGATGCTGCACTGTGTGGTTACACTTTATGTGAAACAACACCTTTCAGCCTGGTGGGAAGTCACTCTCTAACTGCAGGTTACACAAATACACGCATTCATGAATTGACTGATTGGTCGACAGGTGTGCTAGCCATGTAGTGATTAGCAGGCGCTGTCAGTGACAAGGTGGACTCTAACTGGGCTGCTCTTCTCCTTCTGTTTCAGGAGGGAAAGGCGGCAAGAGCCCCTTAAAATAAAAGGAGGAAGAGCAGGTCAGAGTCGTTCACACTGACAGCAGCAGAAACTCTTAAACAACAAACAGCAGTTTGCATGTGGTGACACCATGATTCAGTCTTAATGCTAAAACACTGCTCCATGACGCTGAGGTGCTTCCAGCTATGAAATTCAGTTTTCTTTATGTCACTGAGAAAAACTAAGAAAAAATTTAACCTGACATAAAGTATGTTTCTATGAGATGTCTGTTGTATATGAGCTACATGAATGTGAACACATTTGAATCAGAAAGATGACTGTGTGAGATTGTATAAGTTAGTGTGTCCCAGTGTTCACTCAAAGTTTGCTAAGAACATACAGCTTGGTTTCCAACTTTAGAGAAAAATATAAGATTCGCTGAGGTCACCTAAGTCTTTATGGCACAGCCCCCTTTAATAATCCATGCTGCGTTGTAGTAACAACAAGGACAGACTGGGCGGACAACTCAGCTTAATCACTGAATAATTGGTAGTTGGTGCTACTTTGCACCAGAAACTCACAGAAGCTGTTAGTTGCCGATCTGGGTTCTGGACTGCCAGTAGTTCAGCACAGATATCAGCGCAGCAACTCATTAACACACTGTATGCTCTGTGAAAATAAAAACATTTATTAAAGAGTAATTTGGTGAGTCTTTTTGTTCTGTGCATAAAACAAGAACCGACCAATCAGTCAATCATGGGTCTGTGGAACAATTGGTAAATGGTGAAACTTCGGTGTGTTCTATATATGCATAATGTAAACACCACTAATGTTTGCATTGTTTACCTGTTTGTATTATTGATTTTTTGCTTATTTATTAAGATTCAAAACAGATTAATGACTAAAATAAAATGAATGAGCCCTGCCAGTAGAGCATCAGGTACCTGTTCACTCCAGAATAGGGACAAAAAAAAAACACATGATCAGACATGACGAGATTAAAATAGCCAGTGGTTGATATATACAGTTTATAAAACACACAGTTAATCTTCAGCACTGCTGTCCCTGCCCTGTGGCGTTCAGTCAGCTTTGTACAGAAGAAGATGGACCTGGTGCTGGAGGACGTGGAAGAGGACGAGCTCGAGGTGAGGGAGGTGGATGAGGAGCCACCGTCACAGAACAAAGAGAATCCACAGCCATCAATGGTGGAGGTGAGCCTGACTCATCCTACCCCGTCAAGGTAACATTCAAGATCCCGTCCGGACAGACAGTGGCTACCTTTTCTACTCTGAGCACAATGCCAGTAGCATGGGCATTTCTGGTAGTACCAGGGAAGGTACAGTAGCACCTCAGAGGGTAACGTGGTACTTACGGTTGAGAGGTACTATGGTAGTTCCAGATTGGACACCATGGCATTTCAAAGGGTATTATAATTTTATTGGAGTAGGCCTCATGGCACGTCATAGGTTACCTTTGCAGTATCATGATAGGTACTGTGGCACTTTGAAGGGTACCAGAGTAGTGCCAGGGAAGGTGCTGCAGTACCTTCAGAGCACACCTGATAAAACCCATGCTACTGTGGGGAAGGACACAATGGTAGTTCTAGTGTGGGTACTATAGACATGTTGGGGTATGCTCCATGGCACTTCCAATGCTACTATAGTAGTATCATAGGATACTAGTAGTACCTTCTGAATCATATAATAGTACCACATGTGATTATTTAGAGGGTACCAGGGTAACGCTGTATTTGATGCATATCAGATGCCAGAAAGCTTGAAACGTTCCGTGAGCCATGACACCAAACAATCAGGATGGTCTGACCGCCAGAAGCTCATCTTCGTCTTATCGTGGGAGACAGGCAGAATGAGAATATTTGCAAATGTCAGCAGAGCTCATTTACATCAAATGTCTTTTATTAAAGCAGCTTAAGTGAGTAGTTTTCATTTTGGAAGTTTTATTAATCTCCATTCAAAACCAGTTCCTGTGGATATTGTTATGTTGAGTGACATCTAAGCATCTGATTCTCAGTCAAGTCTAGAGGCGTGGAATTTTCCCAGTCAGAGTTCTAACTTCCAGCACCATCCCATCATACCTCACAAGTAGCAGACTGGAAATTCTCCAGTTCTGAGTTGTCTGAGACACAGCATAGGTATCCTGGTAGATGCCATAACCCTTTCAAGGGTACCATGGTAGTATCCAGGTAGAGGCCATTGTACTTAACAGAGTATAACCACAGTGGGTACCATGGTACAGAGGGTACCACTGTGGTACAGGCCACTGTTCTGTGGTATTTGAAAAGGAACTTAAATGTTACCCAACAGAGTAACAGTGTAAATAAAATCAGAGTGAGATCTGTCGCTCTGTGATCAGCTGCAGACAGAAGATGCAAAGCCCAAGCGGGGTCGTTGGAGCCCGGAGGAAGACGGCATCAGGAAGGAGACAAGAGAGGCACTTCTAGCTCACATGGAGGAAAGGTCAGTGACTCCCCTCTCTGATCATGTACTCTCTCTTTTTTCGTCTGTTTGCTCACTGTGTCCTACAAAATGTCAGCAGGTTGTTTGTTTGTACGACATAAAGTCCAGAGTGAGAGCCAGTATCTCAGCAGCTGAACGTCTCTGTTACTGTAGGGTCTCATCACATTTATAGGACATAGGCAGGGCCAAAGTCTTTTAGTCTTTGTTTAGTTCAGAGTCTGTATTTAAAAGTGTAATTTCCTTTAACGTTGGTGAGTCTCTGAGCTCGTCCTTGTACAGGCTGCAGCAGGAGCGCCTGGAGGTGGCCCGTGTGGCTGAGGAGGTGGCCAGGAAGGCGGCAGAGGAGGCGGTCCGACTGCTGGAGGTGGAACATTCAGCCAAGATCATCATAGAAACACTACCGGAGTCCAGCGAGCAGTAAGTCAGAGCCCTGCATCTTTAAACAGTCAGCTTTTCAGAAACCAACTAGTTTTCGGGTTGACTGCTTGTGTTTTTTGAGTTAATGTTAACAAAGCTTCCTTTGGTATAAGGTGCAGTATCTCACTACACTGGCTGAAAAAAATCTTTTCTTTTTTAAGTTACATGGAACACAGTCATACAAAACCACACTGTAGCAGAAAAGCATCTGAAACGCTGTACAACCTGGTGTGAGACTTCGAAAACTGTCCTGCTGTTTGTTCTCAACAGGCTGCCGAACATCCTGGAGGAGGAAAACGAGGACGAGCCAGAGTGAGTTCATGCTGAGCACAAACCCTGCTGCAGCTGCTGAAAGCAGTGAAAATGACATGGGTGTCACAGATACGTCAGTTACTGCTGACTGGTTTGGCTCACGGTGGATCAGCACCACACGTTATGCTGGATACACTTTAGTTTGACTTCCGTCCGTGTCGCTGTACTGGATCAAAGAGGTGACACTGTTTGCATCTGACTTTGCAGTGGTGAGGAGTTTGGGTTCATTCTGGTTTATTTCAGTCTGGCATGTGTCCCATAAATGTGGCTATTTTGACTCCATGGTTCATGTTAGCTTTGCACTGTCCACCTGTCTCTGAGTTTGACCCAAAGTGAACCCCAATATGAGCTGTTTGGTACAAGCCCTGGCTTCACCGAGTCTCTAAGACAGAGGTGGCAAGTGCAAAATGTTGTATGTTTGGTGGCATTATAACTGAAGTACTGTTGTTACGTCTTTGCTGAAATGACAAAGTGTTCAAACTACTCTAAGACAGAGGTGGCAAGTGCAAAAATGTTGTATGTTTGGTGGCATTGTAACTGAAGTACTGTTGTTACATCTTTGCTGAAATGACAGTGTTCAAACTGTGATACAGCTGATTTTTCATCTTAGCATAGCTATCTTACCTTTAGGCTAGCTAAGAACTCGGGCAGGACTTTGATTCTGAATAGTTTCATGCCCACACAGTTTGCTATGTGCTGTATATCTGCTTCTGTAAAAGCTCTGCTGCGGCCTGAGGCGTCTTCTTGTGGTTAAATCTGACTTTGTGTCACTCGCTGCCAACTTTTCTTCTCTTCTTCTCCCTTCTGTGCACAAACATTTGCATGGGCATTCATGGTCCCCAGATGATCCACTTTGGTGATATCTTGCTTTTCCTTGTTGCTGTCAGACATGCAGGTTCTTTCTTGAGCCACTGTTCAGCATCTGGGGACTGTAAAATGCATTCTCATAAATGTAGGTCATCAGTAGCTGAAGTAGGCACAGATGAGGCATGATTGATCACAGATGTGATGTAGACTGAGTTTTGAAGTGTGATATTTGTCTGCACCAGCAAATCTGCGCTCCTCACCTCAGACTTTTTTCCTTTTCATTTTCCTGTTCGTTACCAGCTTGTCCACATATTTTACCTGTGAACACAAAGGTTACTGGAGAAAGATGGGTTTTGCAGCTTTTTTAAATTTTATCATTCATCACACCTGCCCTTCTTCACCAGCTGCCTGGTAGACATCTGTGCAGCTGCAGACGATACTGAGGCTACGACTCCAGAGGACAAGATGGAGCCTCCACCCACTGAGTCTGAAGCACCAGAGCAAGTTACACCTTCATCAAGAGATGTGGAGCCAGCACTGGAGAAGAGAGACCTGCCGAGTGTGGTCTCCCAACCCATCACCCAACAACCAAAGCCACAAACTTCAGAAGCCCCGACCACCGCCACAGAACAGGTGATTCTTTACTCTTTATGCTGTGGCCAAGAGCCATGCTCCTGTATTCTGGTTGGGGAGAGGATGTCCTCATGTGTTCTAAAATAATCCTCACCACTGAAAGTTGATGGTTTAAGCTGTTGTCAGGCTACAGCCCCCTACTGGTTGAAGTAGTGAAGTTACTTTCACTCAAAGTTTGACAAGACAACAGGTAAATTCCAATTTTTAATCCTTGCTCAACCTGGAAGTTGTTCCAGCCTGCAATCTTGAAGGATACCCCAAAGCTCTTATTCCTGCTCTGAGGAGTGAGGAGGCTACTGAAGGATACATGAGAGCATCCTTCACAGAGGTCTTTAATGGGCCAGCACATGCCTTTTTCAGAAATCAGTTGGTGATTGGACACTTCACATGAAGGATCGGAGAAAAGGATGTCTCACGTCATGTTTCCTCAAGTCTTCTGTCCTTGCAAGTGAGGGAAATGATGACCCATATAAGAAACACCCAAAGTTTCTGAAAAGGCAGCACTGTTTGTATCTCCTATTGTATTCCTATATGCCTAGACTGCCTGTTTATGCATAAATGGCAAATAAAACTCTTGCATCTCATACTCACCCCTGAGGTAACATTTACTGTATCATCTGTATGAGATGCAAAAGGTACTTGACAAAGCATCAGTATTTGACGCTCTGAGATGAGAACGTGTTTCATAAACACACATAAATGGCGAGCACAGCCTTCTAGGGCTGTCTCTGAAATGTAGTGAAGTCCAAGTATGAAGAAGCAGAAAATCAAAAATGTACTTAAGTAAATGTACTTAGATACTTTCCTCCACTGCAACTTTGCTAATTCCTTTCACTTGTAAGGACAATGTTGTGACCTGGTTTAAATACACTTATATGTTTTGTGTTTGCAAGGTGTTCAGGGAATTTACTGAAATGTTCTTTCTTCTTCTCAGGTCAAAGCAACAGAAGAAGAAGGTGGAGGTGAGAAGTTTTATCAGAACAGCTCTTTTGATATTTGCAGTAATAACACCTGAAGCAACATTAAGGTGTGGTCCAAAGATTTAAAGTCATAATGAAATGAAACGAAATGTCGTGAGATCGGTCCCACCAGGATCCTGTGAAGTTCTCACCTTGTCGCTGTTTCTCTGTCCAGTTCCTGATGCTTGCTCTCCGATAAAGAGCTTTCTGCTTCGGGTCCCTCAGGCTACTCAGTGTCTGGAGAGTTGCAGGAAGCTGATGCATGAGCATTACCTCACCCCTCCCAAACTGTCCATGCCGACCCTGCCATTGGAGCTCACCCAGCTGACCCATGGGCTGTCGCAGCATGCACGACAGTGCTGCATGAGCATTGCTAGCCACCTCAGATGCCTTAACTCCAACTGCCAGCATCCTCAGCAGCCTTAAGCCCCACCCTCCTCCTGCAGACCTTTAGAGAAACATTATAGACACTTAATTTTGTGTAGAAAACCTGTAACATGCCAAACAGACCACTAACCTCAAAGTGTCCTCTCACATCTCACATCCTGCTCAGCATCACTACTCCGCTGCTCTGCACTGTGAGCTAACAGCTGACCACACTTCAGGTGATCTTAAAAAAAGTAGATGTTTGTTGCCTTGGCTGCTTTGCTAAGTAGACAGAGTTAAAGGGAAACCTTGTTTTTATAGTTTTTGACAGTATGTGTAGGACGTTACATGTAGTCAGGGCTTTTCTCTGGGCTGTTTGCAGGGAGTAGGGCTAAAGGTTTGGCTGAAGCTCTGGTGCTGAAGGTCGAGGATGTGGATCAGGATGTGGGGCAGGAAAAAGGACTGAATGTCCCCCAAATTATCACAAGCCCAGAACCAGATTGCACGAGCCTGACAGTCCCCAACATGCCACTGTCCAACCTCAGGTAACAAATGTGCACCCCATCGACCCAGCTGCAGACTCTTCCACCACTGCTGATGAAAATGAGCTTTAAAACCAGTTTAACCACATGCTAGCAGCTGCTGCGCCAGGTCAAGGAGGTCTTGTGTCCACGTCCTAATGTTTCTGTCACTGCCTCTTTTCATTTCTTCAGTACCGGAAACAAATTCCTTGTGTGTGTAACATACTTGGCCATTTATTCATTCATTCATTATGTTTTTGTTTTAAAGACGCAAAACTGACATCACCATCCTGCTAAAGTCAGTGCATCAAAACAACTAAAATAAACAGCAACACTCACAATACGGTCATTAAAATACAAAAATAGGATTATGTTGCTAAAATTGTTACAGATATTACAAACAAGAATATAAATACTATTTGCATTTTTTAAAGGCGTAACATGAACATTGTCTGTGTGCTGGCTTCCAGTCCAATATAAGACTGATTTTAAAATATTATTGTTTGTTTGTAAAGCACTGAGTGGCTTGGCACCTGCCTACCTATTGGAGCTTTTAATTTACTGTAAACCAGGAAGGACATTAAGATTATCAGACCAGCTGCTGCTGGTGGTCCCAAGGTCTAGACGCCGGGGCGTTCATGCATTTGCTATTGTAGCTCCTAAACTGTGGAATAAATTACCCACAAACATTAGATCTTTAAAAGCATTACTTAACCCTTTCTTACTTATTCTGGTGTTTGCCCCTGAATAGTTATTCTTTTCTCAGCTTTTATCAGGTAGTTATGACCTGTCTGCTGACCTCTATGTCTATTTTTAGGATGTGTATGTTTGTTTTATATTTCTGCTGTGCAGTTTTAATCAGCCTTTGCTGCTGTGATGTTTTGGAACTGTGTATTTGCTTTAGAATTGTGAAGGACTTTGGTATGACTTAGTGGTTATTGTAAATGTGCTATACGAAAAAAATATGATAATTAATAGACCACAGTGGGCAGAAACAGTAATAAAAGTATGAAAATCCCCCCAAAATGAAACAACTATAACTCTACAGTTAACAAACAGCCACGACCACAGTACTGGGCAGCAGTTCAAAAAATCCCCAAACATCCTGAGTTCAGTAAATAACAAAGGCACAAAACATTCTTTTCAAGAGAAGAAGCTTCATCCTGAATCATGTTTTTTGTCTTCATGTGCTCACGTTTATCTTCTGTTGGTGTCTGCATGTCTTCCTGCTGTGTCCCTGTCAGTCCTGCGGTTTATCTGTCTGGAGATGAGGATGATGATGAACTGATGAGGACCAGTCTGAAGACCTGGTCCAGTCAGGGAGACCTGCTGACTGCAGATGACACGTGAGAGAGATCACACAAACACACTCCATCTCTCCGCAGTCACTGTCGTCTTCTGTGGTTACCATCCTTTTGGTGTCCTCCTGCAGGTCGCGTCCTCTGTCAGCAGCCAGCGTTGGCAGTGTTGTGGTCCAAGACCGTCTGAATGAGCTGCTCTGGCTGTTTAAAGGTCGAACCGAGCACCAGAAATACCGGCTGGTGGACCCAGACCATTCTGAAGATGAAAGTCCCACAGCCTGTATGTTCTGACATATTTTGCTCAGGTGTTGCATCAGCTTGTTCTCTTGTCGTCCTGCTTTTGTGTTTTCATCTTTACTTCATGATGTTTCAAATTGAATTAAAGGTGCAGCACAAATTGACTACTGGCGATAACCATTGAGTCTGCACCCTTAGCTCTGGCTCCTTCTTATGATAATGAACCTCTTCATTGTTATATGGTCAGAAACTTGGTCTTTGCTTATGATAATGAACCTCTTCATTGTTACAGTATATGGTCAGAAACTTGGTCTTTATTTTATCAACTGTTACCAAGTTCAGCATGAAGTTCAATGTTTCTCATCTTTATAAAAAGTCTAGTTGATCCTGATGTTCATCAGATATTGGTGCCGAATCATAAATAATGATCTGAAGACTGTGTCTGACCTCTGCAGCTCCGAGCAAAGCTCCATCTCCCCCTCCCCCTCCCCCTCCAGAGAAGAAGAACGACACAGCACCAGGCAAAGAAGAAGGAAAAGAGGTGGAGCTCCACTTTGAACTTTTGGGACATCCTGTCAAAATTCCCAAACCGCCCAAACTTCCCCCGGTGGCTGAGTGGTTCCGAGCCATTGTGCAGTACCGCTTCCCCTCCAGCATCGACCCCTACACCGGTGAGCACAGCTGAATTCTGAAAGCCTGAGAATCATTTTCTGCCAAAGTTGGAACAGTGTGATTTCACCTCACAGATTTCTGTCAGAGCTCTTCTCGCTGGCTTAAGGCGGACTCTGCTGTGTTTGAAAAACATGATGATACATAGTTAGATGCAGCAGTTATGATTCACCATTATTAAATCTGTTACATCATAATGTCCACCACACGTGATCAGCCACAGCCACACAGTCCACAGGAAGCTTGTTGCTTCTGTTTGTCACACACGACAGTAAGCTGGATGTTTTGGGGCTTTGGTGGTCGAGTAACACAAAGCATTTGTCACATTATGAGATTCAATCCTGTTTAGAGCTGAGCTTTCTGTCTCCACAGATCTGATCTATGTGGTCTGGCTGTTCTTTGTGGTGGCAGCCTGGAACTGGAACGTGTGGCTGATCCCAGTCCGCTGGGCATTCCCCTACCAAACCCCCCAAAACCTCCACCTGTGGCTGCTGGCTGACTACACCTGCGACCTCATCTACATCACCGACATCCTGGTCTTCCAGCCCAGACTGCAGTTCGTCCATGGAGGAGACATCGTGGTCAGTGGCAGCAGCAGGAACAACATCTGTGTCTGATTTAGCTCACGAGCAGCATCTCTAACCTGGACCTTCTTATTCCAGTGTGATAAAAAGGCCATGAGGGAAAACTACATGACAACCCAGAGGTTTAAGGTGAGAACAAAGCTGTGCATCTGTTCAGGAAAAACACCAGCAAATCTTATGTGAAGAGTAACACAAAGGCTCTTTCAGAGCAGGCACTCACGGGCCATAGTTCCCAACCTGAGTTAATTAATTTTGTTCAAATAGCACCTTGTTTGTTTTTCTTTCCTCTGCGCTGCTGTAACATGAGAATTTCATTAAATTAAAGGAAGAAAGTCAGTTATTTGTTTTAATTTTAGGATAAATTCCTTGAGATGCTTCAGCTTGTTTTAAAGCAGATCCACAGACAATAAAACATTTAAATAAAAATAAATACATAAATAATAGTAATGGTAGTAAAATGAATCGGTAAGAATATGTTTGTGGAGTGCTGTTGTTTTAGCAGATGCCTGCTGGAAGTGTCTGCTGTGTGTTTTACAGATGGACGTCCTCAGTCTCTTTCCCATGGAGATATTTTACTTCTTCACCGGAGTGAACTCTCTGCTGAGGTTCCCTCGTCTGCTGAAGGTCAGGACGGATTTCCTCTTCACACACATGTTCATACAGCTGCTGCACTGACTCTGTTTCTGAGAGAAATCTTTTTTTTTCTCAGTACATGGTTTTCTTTGAGTTCAACGACAGGATGGAAGCTGTGATGAAGAAAGCCTACATCTACAGGTGAGAAAAACACAGACACAGAGCAGTTACACAAAAACCAAACCAACCAAACTGCAGCTGTTTTCTCCATAAGTGTGTTTCCAGGTGCTAGAGGGTATGACTGCAGATATATAACACCATTTATCATCTGCATATCTGTTCACCAAAAAAATGTATAAGGAGAAGCATGTACATAAACCTTAAAGATGTCAGGGACCCAGAATTGATCCCTGAGGAACTCAACATGTAATTTTAGTCAGTTTCCTTGGACTAAATCTTTGCTTTGTGTTGCTGTTGCGTGTCAGGGTGATCCGAACCTCCACCTACCTGCTCTACTCCCTGCACATCAATGCCTGTCTCTTCTACTGGGGTTCTGACTATGAAGGACTGGCATCCACCAAATGGGTTTACGATGGAAGAGGCAACGCGTAAGTCTATGCGCCAGTTTATACTGAGGATGCTGTAAAAACACTGTTAATTTGCATGAAGTACTGGAAATGTATATTTGCTGAAGGGTTTTCTACAATGAACAAATGCTGAGTAGAGACAAAAGTGTCCACTTTCAGATGGATTTTAAACTGGGCATCAAATGGTACAGAGTGAGTTTCAGCCTGCTTCACCTCTGACCACAAACAGCAACATTTAAAAGTAAAACAACAAAAAAATGTATTTTTTTGTTTTACTTTTAAAAGTTGAGTTTAAGGTCTCGATGAGTAGCAATCCCCTTTACATTACAAACACTGAAGACAGAATGTTCGTGCATGAGAATGAATAGTCTAAATACATGTGCACTGATGCACATAATCCCTCTCTAGCTAGTGTTCATTTCAGTTCCTGAAATGCCAATAATAAACTCAACACAACTCAGTGGACTAAGGTAAAAAACTGTCTCTGTAAAACTTTTTTCTGTAATGAGAACCTTGTACAAAGATAAAAACTTTTGTTATAAGAAAGTGGAGAAAATGTCAAGGGTGGTGGATAATTTGCTGGAGTGTGTGACTGTAGAAATACTCGTGGAAAAAAAGAAAAATGTTGTAATAAGCTGTATTTATAGAGCACCTGGAGCCAGCATAGAAAAATTTAATGACTGGATGGAAGAAAATTACTTGACAATAAGTCATAAATTAATGTTCATATGTGGTGACTTCAATATAGATTTGTTAAATCCTAACAAGCACACAGGAACTGAGGAGTTTATTAACACAATATATAGATGCAGTTTATACCCAAAAATTACAAAACCAAGTAGAGTAACAACCCAGCATGCAACACTAATACTGTAGATAATATATTTACCAATGTTATTGACAGCAAAATGACAAGTGGATTACTTATAAATGATATAAGTGATCATCTACCAGTATTTGTGGTTTATGAGGGCCAGTATAGAAAAGAGAGGCCAAAAACAAATCTTTTCTATAGGAGGGTAACGAATAAACATGCTGTAAGGAGGCTAAAAGAGGATTTTATGGGGCAAAACTGAGAATCAGTTTACAGAGAGGAAGACTTAGATAAAGCATATGAGCAATTTTTAAATATATTCATGAAAGTATATGACAGGAACTGTCCTCGTAAGCAGTATAAAAATAAGAGGAATTACAGTGGGAAACCGTGGATGAGTAAGGGATTACAGAATGCATGTAAAAAGAAGAATGCGTTATATTAGGAATTCATAAAGGACAGATCAAAGAAGGCGGAAGAAAAATATAAGTTATATAAGAACAAATTAATTTAGATTTTGAGGAGATGTAAGAAACTATATTACTCTAAATTATTAGAGGATAATAAAAATAACATGAGAGGTACTTGGAATATATTAAATAAATTGATTAGAAACAGTTCCAGCAAGAGTAACTACCCTCAATATTTTATGGATAATGATACACCGGTCAATAGATTGGAGGATGTAGTTGATAAGTTTAATAGGTTCTTTGTGAATGTTGGTCCTGGTTTAGCAAGAAGCATTTGTACAGATGATACATCCGTCACTATAAATAATAATACAATCGAAAGGAACATGAGTTCTATGTTTTTGAAGCCCATAGTTGAAAAGGAAATTATAGAGATAGTGAATAAATGTGGTAACAAAACATCTAGTGATAGTGATGGTATCACTATGACAACTGTTAAATGGGTAATTGAGGGGATATGCAAACCATTAACCCATGTTTTTAACATGTCGTTTCGACTTGGGCAGTTCCCCAATAATATGAAAATAGCAAAGGTTATTCCACTGTATAAATCTGGTGATAAGCACAACTTCACAAATTATAGACTGGTTTCTCTGTTGTCACAATTTTCAAAGATTCTGGAAAAACTCTTTAATAACAGATTAGATACATTTATTGACCAACATAAAATCTTCTCTGATTGCCAATACGGTTTTAGGTCGAACCGATCGACATCTTTGGCCATTACCGACCTGATGGAGGACATTACAAGTGCTATGGATGAGAAGAAATACACAATGGGGATATTTATTGACCTAAAAAAAGCATTTAACACAATCAATCATGAATTATTAATGGACAAGTTAGAAAATTATGGGATCAGAGGAATGGTTCTGAAATGGATTAGAAGTTATTTGACACACTGCAAATGTGTTTTTGCTACAGTTACATTCGCTGTTACTACTTTGCGGTGAAGACGCTGATCACCATCGGAGGCCTGCCAGACCCCACCACCGTCTTTGAGATCTACTTCCAGCTCATCAACTACTTTGTTGGCGTCTTTGCTTTCTCCATCATGATTGGTCAGGTAAGCTGATCGTCAAACCATATGAACCTCATTTTTACCAGGGTCTGGTGCCTTTAGCTTCACTGATGTTCTACTGTCAGAGACACATTCAGGATTTCTACTCAACAAAATGTATAACAGATAAAGTGAGATATAGGCCCATATGTGGCACTAGAACAAGCGTGGGTCTGTATCTCTAAGGATTAACTAACCGGAGTCTGTCCCCTCTGGGTTCGGGTCTCAGATGAGAGACGTGGTCGGAGCAGCGACAGCTGGTAAGAACTACTACCGGGCCAGTATGGACAGCACCATCAAGTACATGAACTCCTACAACATCCCCCGAGAGGTCCAGAACCGCATCAAGACCTGGTACGATTACACCTGGAAGAGCCAGGGTATGCTGGGTAAGAAACAGGAGGGAAAACTCAGGCTATGAAGTGGGTAGTTCAGGGTCCCAGTAAATACACCGAGCCAAAGGGTCATTTAAGTTCCCAGCTAATTTAGGTAGGTTGGAAGTTTCCTGGTGAATACACAGAGCCATTGCCAGTAGATAAACAAAACTGGTGAGAAGTTATGTTTACTAGGAAACGGGTTCCAGGTTCAAGTTTTATATCTCATTATCTCAGGACTCAGATACTCAATACATTATGAAGTAAAAATAGTAATACAGCACTATAAAATACTGTAGACAAAATGATAGGTTCTGCTTTTAGGACTTTACTTTTGCTATATCACCAGCAAAATAGGCTATATCTAAAATATAAGCAGTAAAATGACTCCTTATGAAAATGGCCCTTTGAAAGTATTGTACTTTATTTAGATTTTATATACTTTATCATGTTATTGAATGTAAGCAGTATTATGATGTTGTAGCTGGTTGAACCAGAGTTAACTCTAATGTCTTCATATGATGCTGGTTAGTTTAATCTTTAACACATCTTACACATTGTTTGCATGTTTTGTATTTAAAATCTGAATCTGAACAACCAGCGACTGCAGCTGTTAAAGAAATGTAGAGTAGAAGTATCAAATAACATACAATGGAAATATATGGCAAAGTAAATAAATTACTTCATAACAGTATAACTGAATACGTTTCCACTGCTGCAGTTCAGGCATTTAGCAGAGTTTTATCCAGGGGGTCTTAGAAAGTCGCTCAGAGAAGGTGCCTGAACGCCTCATGTTTACTTTAGGTTCACTCTGTGTGTCGTGGTGTTTCCTCTGCAGATGAACAGGAGCTGCTAGTGCAGCTTCCTGCTAAGATGAGACAGGACATCGCCGTGGACGTCAACTATGCAATCGTCAGTAAAGTCGCCCTGTTTCAGGTCAGCAGCAGCAAAGCAACACACAGGACACATGTGTCTGAGCAGACCATACACTGGGTCTAAAGAGAGGTGAAGGATCATGTGCAGCCTCTTTGAATAAAATGTAAAGCTAAAATCTGAATTAATCTCAGTTTATGGTCGTTAAATGGGCTGAACCTGGCTGAATGAGCCTTTCTCAGTTTTAAAACCACAGTGCGTCTCTGTCAGGACAATGTAAATGTCTCTGTCTCCAGGGTTGTGACAGACAGATGGTGTTCGACATGCTGACCAGGCTCAAGTCTGTCGTCTACCTGCCCGGCGACTTTGTGTGTAAAAAGGTAAGTCTGTATGAGCTGTGGAACCCGCTGCTGAGTGGCGGCGGCAGAGCATGCTGACCCCGTGTCTCCTTGTGTCCCAGGGCGAGATCGGCAGGGAGATGTACATCATCAAACAGGGTGAGGTTCAGGTGGTGGGCGGCCCTGACCTGCAGACGGTGTTTGTCACCATAAGAGCCGGCTCAGTGTTCGGAGAGATCAGGTCTGAGTTGCTTCCTATCATCCTGTTAACCAATTAAAACCGTGGATGTGGGACGTGGGTTTCCCAGAGTTCACTGGGGAAATGAATTTGCTGGTGTTTCCCAGTGGCAGCAGGAACATCTGTCTGGAGGCACACAGGAAAATATCCTGTAACTGTTGGATATACAGTACACCCTGTTGTCAGTTTATTAGGAACCCCTGTGTCAATCTAAGTCAGTCTAATCCAACAGTCCTAAATAAATAAATCCTCCTTCAGGAAGGTGATAATCTTCAGTTTGTGTTCCCACACTTGCTGACCCCTCCGGTCTCTGGCCACTTACTGTATCCCCTGCAGTCAAACTCCATTGGTACAGTGACAATTCACATTTACAAAAAATGAAGGTTGTGGTTTCAGCTGGACCTCCGTTCACATACTGCTTTCTCTGAAATATACCTGAAGATTGATAGGTCTGTCTTGTCTTTTATTGTCCCAGTTTGCTGGCGGGAGGCGGAGGAAACCGACGTACTGCCAATGTAAAGGCGCACGGATTTGCCAACCTCTTCATCCTGGACAAGAGGGACCTGGCAGAGATCCTGGTGCACTACCCAGAGTCCCAGAAACGGCTGCGCAAGAAGGCCAAGTAAGAGTGAGCCCCATCACAGGGATCTTTCACTGTCCGTTGTCAGCCACAGTCACACACTGTCCCAGCTCTGGAATTGTAAACATCTAAGTTTTGGCCGTCAAACAGACTCCGTTGGATCTGTCCAGGCACTGAGCTGCTGATCCCGCTGAGAGATGGCTCAGACACTGTTTCTGTGCTGTTCATCATGTTTCTTGCAGTAATGCTGGAGTTGTGGAGAGCTGCAGATATATTAAAAGTAATTGTGTGACAGCCTGGTTTTATCATCATGTGAGGACAAACAGCTGAGACCAAAACGCTGCATTAATACAGACATATTCTCCATGTCACAAAAACACTGTGTGGGCTTCATGTGAGACAGGGAAATGGATCCAGGTGCAGTTGGAGCAGCAGGTTCATGCACTGATTAGAGTCCAGAACACAGCCCAGAGGTTTGTAACACTCACAGACAAGATGTTGGCAGAAAAGGTTGAACCAGATCAACTATTTTTCTGCGCTGAGATGCCCTGTGCTTGTGAAGCTGCTGTGTAAACACACTTCCTCCTTGAAATCAAGGAGAAGGACTGGCAAGTTTATTTCACCTGTGTGAACATAGCCTCATACACGGCCTCACGCTGGACACTGAAGCCTTGTGGGTACATTTCTATAAAACATGGTCAGATACTACAAATGCTGCAGAGCTGTCCAGAGCTGCACAGCAAGCGGCCTCCGGGGCAGTTGGCAGCGAGGCTTTGTGCTCACTGTCAGATGTACACGGTGTGCAGACCTCCTGGTGTTTTGTACGAGGACAGAGCGAATTGGCTGAGCAGTGTACACCTCGTCTCTTTGTCCATTAAGTTTTATTGAGCAGCTACTTAGAGAGCAGGCCAGCTGTCAGGTAGAGTTCACCCCACAGTTCTTGCTCCGGGCACAAATGTAGACTCCATTCTGAGACAAGTGAGTCACTGTTTACCTGCAGTTTGTTAATCATCCGGTTCTGCACAGACACACACACACACACACACACACACACACACACGCGCGCACACACAGTTCAGCAGCTCCACAACACAATATTTGTGTTTCCAGAAAAGAGCTGACAAGTGCTTTTGCTGCAGAATGACAGGACATGCATCACTGTTGTTGTTCATTCATTCATTCATTCTTGTGCTTTGTGTGCAGTGTGCTGCTTTAGTAATTCCATGATGCTGATTATTTACTTGTTTAATGTTTACAGATTCCCAATCAAACTCATTCAGCTCACTAGAAGAAAGGCTGCCAATCCTGATATTTGGGGCAGAAGAATTGGCATTGTTGTGTGATTGTTTCTGCTGCAAACTGATCATTTAAGTCATTGTTGAAGCACAAAGGTTTAAAATTGAAAAGCGGTAGCTTCTCGGGTGTGACAGTGCGCTGCTTTGGCTGAAGTGCTTTGGCTTTGGACTGTTGGTCAGACAAAACAATTTAACCCTAGGTGCATTTTTACATTTTCCTTGCTACTTATTGACTAAACAATCCGTTCATCCAGAAAATTGGTTGACAATGGTACAGCAACTGTTTTAAATTGTGCACAAACAGCAGCTCCTCTCTGCACATGAAAGAATTCATCCATCACTGTCTCAGATTCTTCCAACAGTGAAACAAAGTGAAAACATCTCCCACCCACTTTGTCTCCTCCGCTCTCCTGTCTCCGTTTCCTTTGTCATCTTCCTGTCTGATGCCTAGGACCTGATGAGACTCGGTTCTATTGTGTTCACTAAGGTCATTCTACTTCCTGCTCGGATCAGTGCAGTGATCCTCCTGCTCAGCTTCCTCTCCTCACTTGATCTTCTCCATCATAGTGCTGCAGTAGAGTCAGTGGATGTGTGCTTACACTAGTTTGTAGTGTGCAGCCCAGGTTCTCAGTTGTGTTTTCATTTTAGCAAAGATGGACTCTGGCTGTTTGTGCCTGTGTGCATTCATTTAGCACGGTAAAGTTTCCACTTTTGGACACGTGTGTGATGCTGTTGAGCTTGTATAAAGGTGTCTCTGTTCTCCTTTGTGCAGGAAGATGCTCGCGAAGGACAAAAAGCCAGAAGAGAAGGAGGAAGGTAAAGAGGCGATGATGGTCATCCCCCCCAGACAGGAAACACCCAAAATGTTCAAGGCAGCACTGAAAGTGATGGAGCAGGCGGGAATAGAGGGAACCTTGGCCAAACTGAAGAAGGCCTACAGACCATCTCAGAGCACAGCAGAGGTAAATCCTCTACTGACACAGCTGGTCAGAAGTGAAGTGCTGCCTGTTCATGCTACATTCAATGAGTGAGGAGGCGTCTCTGCTGTAGGTGAATCTGAGCTGTCAGCTGATGTTTGTGGACACACACAGGTCACTTCTCTCACCTGTTCAGATGACTTTGTGTTTAGCTTCCATTAGCATTAGCATGGTAGCTGCTGTTTCTCAACAGAAACATGTTGTATTGTTGGCAGAGCTGACACACGTCTGTTAAAGGAGGTGTGTGGTCACATTCAAATTCCCATTTAAACAGTGATTTCACAGGTTTCCACCAGTGGCTTTATTTCCAAATAGTAAAAATGTCTGAATATAGACATGTTTTCTGCCTCAGAGCCGTGAACACATCCTGTTTGCAAACAGGAAACCATTCTATGAAGCAAAGAGAGAACTTTTGGTCACCAGCAGTCTCATGCGAGCTTTCATCTCTTTCGTCCCTCCCAGGCCCCCCACTCCATCTCACGACTCCCCTCTCCCTCTCCGATGCCGGTTCCTCTCTGTCCAGTTCAGGACGATGTGGACACAATGGCAGAGACCGCCGACAGCTCCGTCATCATCAGGATGACGCCGCGACAGGAAGGAGAGGAGCTGCTCACTGTGGAGGTGACGCCCAGGGAGCGAGAGGAGCAGAAGAAGGAGGGGGTGGAGGCAGCAAAGGAGTGATTTGAAAGGAGGCAGCCTCTTTCTTCTTCATGCAAACTAGTTTTTGTGGAAGTTTACACAAAAAAATATTGTGGTTAGAAATATTTCTACTCTCGTGATTTGCCACTTTAGTCATTTTACTAGTTTACTGGTGCTTTGAGTGTCCTGCTCAGCTTTCTGCTGAGGAAACAGAGAGATGCAGGTAGTACCTGCCAAGAATAGAAATACTACATCTGTGTACTGTAGTGTAGCAGGAAAAGCTTCAGGAAGCAGAGGAAGTTCTCCCCATGTCATCTGAGCTGAAGAGGAAAGACAGAAAGCAAGAAAAGGCGAGAAAACAGAAACACTGCTGAGCTGAAAGCTGCTGCTGGACACAGGAAGCTTCATCATCAGCTGAGCTGAAAGCTGCTGCTGGACACATCATCCGCACTGATTTCAGGGGGGAAGAAGAAGTGTGTAACACTAAGTATCTATTGGAGCCTATTGATGAAGATGACAGAGGTTTAATGTACTGACGTGTTGTAACATGTTAAAACACAATTCAGTTTGTAAATTACACTTCATAATTGGCCTGCTGTGTGTGTGTGTGTGTACCTTTGTATTACTTACATTATGGGGGCCGAAACCTGTTAACACACTTGCATTGTGGGGACTTGGCCATCACTTGGAAATCACTGAATTTTAGGGTGGCAACATGATTTAAGGTTAGGGTCAAGTTAAGGTTAGGTGTTAGGCAAGTCGTAGTTATGGGTAAGGTTAGAATAGGTCTACAGGAAATGAGTGTAAGTCAGTGTAAAGTCCCCACAAGAATGAAAACGCAGCGTGTGTTGGCTAAAAGAAAAACTAGCTCCAGTGTTGTCTTACACTCTGCTATGATACGGCCACTGGGGGGCGCCAGTGTCGATGTGTTCAATCTCAATGATGTCTTTATTGACAAACTGCTGTAAAAGTAATCAGAAATGTAACTACATTATGTATTTCTACATTCGGCTGCTATCGTACTTTTGCTGCACTACATCTGTTTTAAAGCTTTACTTATGTTGCAGATTCAGATTAATGATAGAGTGCATGTATTTTGTAGATGAAGCCAGACCCCAGCATCTTTAATCCAACCACATACACTATATGATTATGAATCTGATCATTGTGTATAACATGTACTTTAACTCTTGATATATTAAATTTTAATGCTAATAATGCCATGTACTTTAACTCTTGATATATTAAATCAATTTTAATGCTAATAATGCAGGATGTTTAGTTGTAACTATTTCTACACTGATGTTATCAGTTGTTTTACTTAAGCAAAACTTAATCTTATCTGAAGACATGATGATCTTCTCCCTGGGGAGGTTTTACAATCTCTGACCACAGATAAAACGTGGGGGCCCTCGGATCATCCTGAGATTGTCCCAACTCACTTGTTGCTTCCCTGAATCAAACTGAGGAGCTGTTGTGTTGTTCCTTTTTCCTGGACAGTTGTGTGCAGGGGCTTTTGGTGTTTGTCCCTGAAGTGTGTCAGAGTTTTAATGAGCTGTGTGTGGAGATGTGACACCACGTGCACCATAGCAGCTGTGAGCAGCTCCTGCATTTCAGTTGCACTGTAGGAAAATATCTGCCAACACCACACTCAGCGATTTCAGTCCGAATGTTGCTTCACTGATCACAGTTCACTGAGTAAAATGAACTCGGAAACGTTTTTGAAACCTTACTTTAAATCGCAGAGTAAATGCCAAAGTCTTACCTTCCCCAATGTGAGTTTTGGGATCTAACCCTCATGATGGTCACCCCGCTCCGCCCCCATAAACGTACCTCCCTCGCCCATGCGCACCCAGCAAGACTGCAAACTGTCCGACAGTCCGTGAAGGCAGCACAGTCACCCCGCAGGCGGCGGGACAGCGGGGTGGTACACGCACGCTCCGCCGCAGGAAAACTGGATCGTGACCACCGCTACAGCCGATTGTTAACCTTTAATTCATGTTTTAACACCTGGACTCTGTGGCCGAGTCAAACTGGGAGGAGTTCACTGTGAGGAACCGGCGAGAAGACGAAGACGACGAGGAGGAAGAGGAGTCGCAGCTTGGGACCAGAGGTGAGGCAAAGTTTGGAGGAACCAAACTTGGTGTTCCTGAAGAGTTTTGCCGCACAGAGCCTGGTTCTGGTGCTTTGTGGGGGTGATGTTTTCGTCCCTGCCATGTTGTTGAGCTGTTGTGGGGCAGAAACGGCGCAGCTTGTGTTTGACCGAGTGCGTTTGTGTGTCCGCGTCCAGCAGTTTCTACCGCTTCAACGCGCGTGTTCGTCTCTTTCAGCTGCAACAAAAGAGCCCGGCCTCACCTGGTCAATGCACGCGCACGCGCACACACTGGCATTACATTCGCATGCATCAGTATTTAGCCTCCTCGTAAATATCGTCCAAAATAATGACACACAGGTAATTTGTCAGTGTCTGGTGAGTCCAGAAACCCAACAAGACTAAATCTACAAAGAGTGAGAAGCAGAGAAATTATGTCGAGTAATAACAAACAGTGACTTCATCAGTCCAGTCCTGCTTCAATACTGGACCAGCCCGTGTGGCATTACCACAGTAACCCCATCAGACAGGGCTGGGCCTGGGTCTGGAGGTGGGTTTGGGCCTGGGCCTGGGTCTGGAGGTGGGTCTGGGTCTGAGTCTGGGCCTGGTTCTGGAGGTGGGTTTGGGCCTGGGCCTGGAGGTGGGTTTGGGCCTGGGTCTGGGTCTGGAGGTGGGCCTGGGCCTGGGCCTGGGTCTGGAGGTGGGTCTGGGCCTGGGTCTGGGTCTGGAGGTGGGTTTGGGTCTGGGCCTGGGTCTGGGCCTGGGTCTGGAGGTGGGCTTGGGGTGGTGGCTTCATGTTTGGTCCAGAAGCTTCAGTGTGCTGCACTGTGAGACAACAAGCACGAAAACCACAAGTTTAAGAACCTGACACCAACAAACAGTTGACATTTTTCCTTGAAGACCAGTGATTCTTCTTTTATCAGAATACTGTGTAGTTTTCTGTCACTAATTGACTCATCTGTGCAGATGTAATCTAGTCCAAGGTGGAGGTCTTGTTTTGTCCGACTAACAGGTCAAAACGCGGGGATATCAGAGTTATAGAAATGCAGCGGTATCTCTCATGTGAGAACCTCACAGCTTCAGATGTGTGATACAGTAGCTTTGACTTGATTCATCGTCTGTAGGGCGACTAATAAGAGTTTATAAAATCTATAAACAGTGAAAAAAGTCACAGCTTCCTAGACTTCACGGTGCCTTCTTCGTGCGTCCTGTTTTGTCCGACACACAGTCCAGACCCGAGGAGACGCTGTTTACTGTGATACAGCAGACACAAGGAGAAAACGCACGTGAGGAGCTGGAGCCAGGGCATTTGAGGCTTTTGCTTCAATAATGACTAACAGATTCTTTGATTATTAAACTAGTCGGTTGTGGGTTCACTAATCAGTGTGTTGACTAATCAATGCAGCACTAAATCAGAGCCATCCATTAGAGACTATGTGGGTTCCTCACTGTGAGATGCCCAAACGGTGATGGTTGACTCCCCGTGGGAGCTTTTTTGGCATCTGTTGGCTCCTGACTGTGTCCTGTGGCCCATTTCTCTGCCAGGGCCTGTGCCGGGTTGGTTGGCTGATGTCTTTCTAGGAGCAGAGGTGCACCACCAGCTCTAACTTCTGTATTATTAAAAACCCAATCCCAACCCTAGACCCAAGATTAAGCCTTAAACTTCCTCCTGAAGAGGCTGGGCAGGACTTGTGTGCTTCCGTGCTCATGTAGACACGCTCTCTGGTTTCCTGTCCGTGCAGTGCTGTGAGTTGACTCAGTGCACTGATGATGACAGTACCATCAGTGTGGTTGTTCGGCCTGCAGGGTGGAGCCTGCGCAGGCTGACCGCTCCACGCAACACTTTCCATAAATAGACTCCGGTTTTGTCTGCAGGTTTTGTTCCTTATTGGTCCCCGAGGCAGAGCTGCAGCCACATCACAGGGGAAGCGCCTGTCAGATGTTTTACTGACGTAGAAGCAGCAAAAGCTCAAGTTTTTCAGCCCAGTTGCTAGGTAGTTTTCATCAGGCTAATCACATGGACAGCTGACCCTGAAAGTGTGGAACACTGTCGGATAGATGTGCTGTAAAACTGTCCGCCCCACTGAACATCTGAGTTCTGAGTAAAGCTCCAAGGACATTTGGTACCTTGTGTAGTTTGAACCCTTTGACAGAGCTGTAGAGTTTAGTCAAATGATTCGTGTGAATTATTTTTTTTTTTTTTAGCTGTTGTCACACAGACTAAAGACCCATTGGCCTATTTTTCATCAGGGACATTTTTATCCTGCATTTTTAATATTTAGGTGCTACACCCGTCTCCATCTCTGTGTACAGTTACTGTGGTTACAGCTTTCTCTGTCTGTGTCTACAGGTACCATGGTTATGCCCATCTCCATCTCTGTTGTGTACAGTTACCGTGGTTACAGGTGTGCGTGTCCCTTTTGATCGCAACAGACAGACGGAGTGTTAACGCCACATCACTTCCTCCTCAGAAATGTCAGCGTGCTGCTGTGTTTTCCTTGTGTGTCTCAGCTGTGGTTGTGTCTTCTTGTGGATAGTGGATGAATTGAGTTCGTAAATCTCAAGTGACAGATACCGAACGTTGCAGAATAGACGATGCTTTGTATTGACGGCAATGCAGCAGGTCGAGCTGCTACATCGACCGAGCGGCTCCTGCTCTGTTAGTGATGACTGTTAATGTGTGAATGTACTGCTCGGCGTGTCCGTTATATAGGGACTGATTTCAGCACAGCTCTCTCTCCAGCTCTGCCTCTTCCCTGTGTGCACACTGACTGCTGCTATGGCCTGTAAAGCCAAATACAGTAGCTACACGTTCAGTCCACGTGCAGTTAACCAGCAGCCAGCTGGGGAGGAGCAGCGGGGCTGCTGGTGGGCAGGACGTCACCTCAGCTGGGTTTCTTCTGCTGCACTGGTTTCTACTCTACATGGTAACACACCGCTGTCTGGAACAAACACATGCCAGCAGCAGTCGGGGCGTCCTCACAGAAACCAGCAGCTCACTGCATTAAAGATTAACCGAGTGTTTGCTGAGCTCAAGGTTAATGCAGCTGCTGGTGTTTGTGCTAATAGAGGTTGTTGTCCAGGTCTTAAAGTGTTTCTGTGTCCTGTCACCGTGATAGGAAACATGCTGTCTGTGGCTTGTGGCTGCGTGTTACGTTCAGGTTGTAGATGTTAGACGTACAGATGTGGAGTAAATCTGCAGAGCAGGTTTTAGTCTTATCTGAGGAGTGAGTCTAGTGTGGAGAGGGGGGAGGAGCAGACTGAGGTGAAGGAACACTGGCACGTTGTTGCTTTTTAAAATGCGTTTCTGTTGGTTGAGAATGGAAACTGGGCAAAAAGTTTTTGGAGCCTGAAGTTTCTGTAACATCATCACAGCTGCAACAACAGGTCACAGAGAACTAATCAAACTATCCCACAGTTCAGCAGTCAGGCTTTTTAAGCAAGCATGACAAACTTTCCTGTCAGAAGTGAGGATCCAATGGTTATTATCTCTGTCATATACACACAGTGGTCAGTTTATTAGGGACCCCAAACTAAGCCGGTCTAATCCAACAGTCCTGCAGGCAGAAGGCCGCCCACCAAGAGCCGGGGTCTGTCCGAGGTTTCTTCCATCAAAGGGAGTTTTGCCTCCCCGCTGTTGCCAAGTGCTGCTCAGGGGGGTTTGTTGGATTTTTTTCTCTATAACAATAATAATATCAGGTCTAGACCTGACTATGTAAAGTGTCCTGAGTCGACTTTTGTTGAGATTTGGCGCCATACAAATAAAACTGAATTAAATCCTCCTTCATGAAGGTGATGATGTTCAGTTTGTGTTCAGAATGTTTCACAGGTGATCACAGGAGGCGTTGCAGGTTGCAGACCGGGTGGTGCCGCCTCATGCGTTTGCATAGTTAACGAGCTGAAAACATTCTTTTGATTTGCTTTGAACAGAGAAGCAGCTCTGTGACATCATGCTCAGAAAGCACAGACGGAAGACGGTGTTACTGTCATCACAGGGGGGCTGCGTGTGAAAGAGAAGCCAGGACTAGCTGTGACCTTAACTGCTGGAGCAGTCCCTCAGTCTGCTCCTGATGCAGCCCACACAAGGCTGTGGCCACGTCTTGTTCCGCAGAGTCGACAAAACCGAAGAGCCTGCTGGTTTTATGTAACAGCCAGTAGTACCGCAGCGCTGGGGTGGTCTCGCTGCAGCTCACTGGTCACAGGTGACTGTAAATATCTCACTGATTATTTCTGTTTCAGGGTTTAAACTACCAGTCGGGTGACACTCTTAGCTTTTTCTCTTGGCTTTACATCTTGTGCACAGACTTGGCTCCACCATGTGAATGTGCACAGTAGTTCATTCTAACTCGGTCCCACTAATACTCACTAGAGACCAAATGTGGATTCATCAGCCGCTGCAGGTAGTCCCAACAGATGCAGTTTCTTCCTGATTAAAGCAAGAGTGAGCAGGTGATTGAGGAAACTACTGAGTTAAAAATGAAACTATACATTAGTGAGGTGTTTGGACAGATGTACATCTTCAGTAGGAACCACTGGGCTTGGAGCTGAGAGCCACAGACAGGAAGTCAGGCAGTGCTGACAGATGGACCAACACACTGAGATTTGTTGACAGCAGGAAACTACAGATTAACACCAGAATGAGTGGAGTAATAGTTTTGTTGAGCTTATCAGTTTGTGTGTGTGTTTTGCTTTTCCATTTGGGTGGATAAAATCTTTATTTGCTGAGGGTTTGACTTGTTTTATGAACTTGTCTTTCCTGTCAGATGTGACTCGGAGCAACACCAACCAGACCGCCACAGGGGCTGCAGAGTCTGGGTGTGGTGCTGTTCAAATGCCAAACCTCTTTAGACCTGGAGGCGATGTCAGATCTGCTTCACAGACTGAAGCCAATGTGACATTTCAGGAAATCAACTGTGAAAATGCCTAAAGATCATGTGACTGTGGAATCCTGTCCACCGTCTGTGACTCAGGAAGTTTCTGTTTGTGGGACTCTCTTATGCAACGTGTATCTGATTGAAACC